ATAATAATAATAATAATAATAATAATAATAATAATAATAATAATAATCATTGCTGATTGGATAAATCACATTTATAACAATCAACAGGCCTTGCAGAATTCTAACATGAACCATGTGTCAGTAGGTGCAAATTAATGGATAGGATAATATAGATATTTCAGATAATGAGAACTGGGAAGACCAAGTCCAAGACAAAGATTTTACATGTCCCAAAATTAATTTTGAACTATGTTTTTAATGGCAAATTTTTATAATGTTTATGATTATATACAAGGTTGTATAACCTATCAAATTTCCCTTATGGGATGAATAAAGTAATCTATTCTACATTCTATTCTAATCAGATTAAATATTAGGAATAATTATCCTTCCTTTTCTTTGTCCATTTTTTATACCTTAGAAATGACTTCCTTAAAAGGGTTTTGTTGTTTTTAATTTCAAACCAATCAGATTAACTAAAGCAAGCTTGATTACCTTTTATTACCCTATAAATAATTTATATCTTGATTTATTACCATCCTAAACACCTGTTGTCTGCATGATTTACTATCTCAGATGTAGGGCTATTAAAAGCTGTTGAGGAAATAATAGGGTTAAATTTAATTTAGGTTTCCTTGGGAAAATAAATACATACAAATCTTTGGTCATTTTCAATGTATTCACATTTCTGAGTGACAGCATTTTGTTGGAAAAAACAATTGTCAATTCACACTTAACGGAGAGTCTGATAGTGTTTCTTTACCACTTAATGGAGCGTGTAGCTTTATTAAATACATTTCGATTTTTGTAAGCGTGCATTTTATTCTCAAATAGCATAAGAATTTTGCAAAGTCAGCTTTTGACGCCTGCTGAGGTGCAGTTACGGATCTCTGACGTCACGTCTGGATCCCTCACTGATTGGATAACCCAGGGATAATCCTGCACCCCTCCCTGTCCGCCCCCACCTCTCATTTGCTCTTACGTCTCAAGATAGGAGTCGCAAATTCCTTTTGACGCAAACATTTCGCAAGAAACGTGTCAAAAGTCAAAGCGCATGCTCGTAGCGCGGTCACGTGACTGTGCACACGTGGAAGCGGATCTAAGAAAGTGTAAACAGTGGGTCGATGGTGTTCAAACAAAAATGAATACATTAATTTATTTTCTATTTTTTTTTCTTTTACAAATTCTCACATTTGCTGTGTTAA